CCCCCCCCCCCCCCAGGAAAGGGGTCTTTGGAGAATCTGTTGTGTTGCATGAAATTAAGCTGTTCTTGTTCTTCGACATGTAAATCGCCTTGAGACCACCATGCTTGCTTGTCGGCGGCGTATCGTATCAGCGCGGGCCCGCCGTTTCAAAACATCCACAACCCCGCTCCACCGCCGGAATGTCAATTGGTATATTTTTTAAAATATTTTTTCAGGTACAAGACTGCCAATATCTACGCACAGGAGGACGCATCGCCCTTTTACGAGTTTTAAGACGCCAACGCCAACGGCGGGGTGGCAGTCTAGACTTTTCAATTGCTGGGGGCAGAACACGCACGTTATGCCCAACAGCTTTTACTTTGCTGTTTTGTGTTACGTACGATAAATATCATGTTTGTGTCGCGGGCAAATGGCGGTACGAGTTGTGTGTACACGGATGATTAGCCCGGAGTAAGATTTTTTATTACTCATTGGCACTCAAAAGGTTGAGAAGTCGAGAGAAAGTCGATCGAATTTCAATCAGAGGATGAGATCGGTGCCTCCCGCACCCGTCACGGCGTTACGCGCGGTGTGTGTATTTTGTAGTCCTTGTGAGTCCACATCGATCAGTTTGCTGGTGTGCTAAGTGCTGTGTGCCGGTTCGGCCGTAATTTTTTATTCTTGCATGGGTGGAGAGGTGGGGGAACGGAGGGGGTTGTACCCTTGCGCATCCGCACTGTGCAGGTGTGATCGCTATTTATTTTTTCTCGAGATGCTGTCATATAGGTGCGGTGTTTGGTGGAAAAGTGTACACAGCAGTGGGTGTTCGTGTGCTTCTGCGTAAGAAGTTAAGAGAACAATGCCAGCCAAACTAGCTGCCGGATGAGGCAGATAAAATAGTTGCAATCGTAAGGACGGAGTTTTCGTATGTCGGTGTGGCCGGATGAGGTGGGAGTGTATAAGGTGCACAATTGGACAGTCTGTTGGTGCATGAGCGGGCAGGTGGTGGTGGATTTTGTAAACGATTTCAGGACATTGACTCCGGTCGCGTATTTTTCCTTTTTACCGGACGGAATCCGAAGGGCGAGTGACGTGACAAACCAGCGTAGCACACGAGAGCATGAGGTTCCTGGCGTCGAAAAAGTGGGACCTTCGCGCGCGGGTGGTTTCATGCCGTTTTTACGTGCAGGAAGAGATTCCACAAAAACCTGAGTCAGCCTTGCAAGACCGGGGCATGGGTCATTTTAGAGGGATGATCTTAACGTCGACTCCGCTTCGCTTTGCGGAAACGTACATACACATTCGGGACATGGAGCTGTGTTGTTTGATGTCTCGACCGGTTGTGTGTGTCCGTACTTTCTGCACAATGTCGCGTCGGGTGCAGGTTAGATAGATCATGAGAGTTCGTCGGGGTGTAAGCAGTGTGGGGTAGGAGGAGCCATCGAGGTTGGTCCCAAGCCGTGAGCTCGTAACGTGCCTTGTCTGTCGGCGCAATGTTTTTGTGAGCGTGTCATTCCTCCAATTGACACGCACACCTTCCCTTCCTCCCCCGAGTTTGTTTGTAAGCATGCATTCGAGAAGAAGGCATTGCCGGTCACGCGCTGGCAAGTGGACTACTACTAGTCAACGACTGTAGCAATTCTTTCTGCTGATGTAAGCCCGGTCGTGTAGAGTCGTGCATGGGCGCAACGTCCCCCCGTAGACTTGTTTATGCCTTCGCTTCGAAGCAGGGGGTGTTGCTATGACAGAAGCTACACGAGTTTTCTGGCATCCTCGAGTCTCTAGTATAGCACGGCCGTAAGTCATGATAACCTTTAGTGCTCGTCGGTGCCTCTGTTCACTTCGTATCATATGGCGGACGAAGGATGGTTTTGGTCTTCTTCCTCTTGCGTCTTAGATTTGGGCACGGTGTCCATCACCCGAAATAGTGAGCCTCGGACACTTGCGTCATTTCATGTAGGGTCCAGGATATCAGGATATGTTTTCATCACCAACAGGGGGGGGGGGGGG